TTAGGATCCGGGCTGAAGAGGTTGGCTGGAAAAACCAATACTTCTCCTTAGCCGAGATAAGTATCTAGGCTGCAGGAAGTTGGCAGGTTTGACCAGCAAGTCTTTGCCCGACTGGGGGGCAATCAAGAAGTTTGGCAAGAATGGCCAAGCATTTAGCTTTTCTTCAAGCCGAGATAAGGATCCGCGCTGAAGAAGGTTGGCAAGAATAACCAACATTTAGCTGTCCTAAGCCGAGATGAGAATCTAGGCTGCAGGAAGTTGGTAGGTATGACCAACAAAATTTTTGAACTCTTTGACCGGGATGATGGTTACCTCGGCCAAAGCAGGTTGGCAGGTATGGCCAACAAATTTTTGAACCCTTTGGCTGGGATGATGGTTACCTCGGCCAAAGCAGGTTGGCAGGTATGACCAACAAAATTTTTTGAAACTCTTTGGCCGGGATTATGGTTACCTCGGCCAAAGCAGGTTGGCAGGTATGACCAACAAATTTTTGAATTCCTGGACCGAGATGGTTATCTTGGCCAAAGCAGGTTGGTAGGGTTAGTATAAATCGAGTTAGTCTACTCAGCGAGACGCAGAAAGAACGACTGGCCATACGATTGCAAACTCAAAGGACATATACGTTGAAGATAAAAAAACAGGGCTATTCAAATTTTTGGCATGACGGAAGTAACAAAATAACGAGGATATTGGGAGCACGCCATGTATCCTGGGAATGACGTCGTACTAGATTAGTAAAAGAACATGTTGAGCAACTGACCAGACTTGTTGGGACTGAACGAGTTGTGAGATCGAGCAAACTTCTCTAGTTCAGCAAAGTTGAGCGTTTTTTGCTCGGCTAGAAGAGAGTAATCCCAATCATGCTGCGCAGATGGAATTAAGGGGCAATTGAGAGGGTAATTTGTAAGCAAATTGGGCCAAGCTAGGAAAGTCTTCTTTGGAAGTTGAGCCGCACAATGGGCTGAGATCAGGGTTGGTGTAGCTCGGTCTTAGGCCAAGAAGACATCTCGTATTACAGATTTGGGCCAAACTATGGGCCGAGGTGTTTGGGCTTCGTAAGTTGGACCTCGTCCTTGTTAGTTCAGTCAGAGACTGCTGCAGTTAGCTCGGTCTAAACAGACAAAACCGAGATATCAGTGGGGGGAGAACCGAGCTAAAGGATAGCTCTGCAGGGCGTCATCTCAGAGTCAAGACTAATAGTGGTGCTTAAAGTATCACCGAGCCGAAATAAACTGGTTGACCGCAATGTCAGCCGAGGTAAAGATGTCAGCCGAGGTAAAGGAGGTAACATCAATGGCGAGGGCCGAGCTGTGTATAGCTCGGCAGGATGGCATTCGATAGATTAGCTTTCGATCACACGGTCCGAATGGCAGGGGGCCGAGATAAAGCAGTTCGGTCAGAAATGTATAACCGAGGTAAAGGGTTCAGCCATCTCACTTGGCTTGCAGTGATGAGACTCCTAATAGGACTCTGCTAAGGAGAGTTAGAGTCCTACTGGGATTGTGTAAACCATCTCACTTAGTTGGTAGTGAGCAGGAGTGTGACTCCTAGGAGGACTCTGCTAAGGAGAGTTAGAGTCCTACTAGGATTGTGCAAAACCATCTCACTTGGTTGGTAGTGAGTAGGGTGTGTGATTCCTAGGAAGACTCTCATAAGGAGAGTTGGAATCCTACTAAGAATGTGCCAAGCAAAGTCTATAAAAGCTCATGACCAGACCTATGGACAGGTATCTTAATTCTTACTCTAAAATACACAGAGCTTATTGTCTATTGTCTAGTTGCTGACTTAGGCGTCGGTGGGATTTTCGGCACACACCCGCCAGTTAGCTCACGTTTGTATTTTCAGGTGGCAAAGCAACATTGTTTGGAGGATTGCAAACTTGATCAACAGGATCATACGAGAAGAATTATTTCATGCTCGTACAGTATTCTTTGGTTGTTTGGTGTTCTACCTTGCTGATTTCTAGGCTGGTTCAGGGGTCTTTGATTGTTTGTCTTCTATTTTACAATTCTATCACTCTATTGTAGATCAGTGATGTCCAGCCAACTTTCGGTTTTTGTTTCCTTTTCTTATTGGTTTCTCACCAACTGGAGCTCTGAGCTTGTCTTAACTCTGAGCTCCTCTTTATTGACGTATCCTATCATTTTGTTATTTTCGTCAATAAAAATTTATTTTACCAAAAAAAAAAGAGAAAAAGAAAGAAAGTCATATATAAACTGTTTTCTTTTCTTTCTTTTCTCCTCTAATAAGTTGCATATCCCAAGTGTAGATTAGTTGTCATAAGTCTCTATTATGTCTAAAAGGGACTTTTTTTTTTTTCTGAAATTCGAAAACGGAAGAACCTTTTTGATATTTTTGGAACTTGTAGCATGCCTAAAACTAGGGGTGTTCGCGGATCGGTTTTGTGAGGTTTGCGGTTCGGTTTTGACCCGCCCGCATTTATGCGGTTTGGGAAAAAGTCAACCCGCAACCGTCCACAGTGCGGTTTGCGGTTTGTGTGGATAGGGTTTGCAAATGTGCGAGCGGTTGCGGGCGGTTTGCGGTTTAAATTTTTTTCTTTAAAAATTAATTTTCGAGTTTTTTTTTCCCAGTGAATTTAGGCATCATATTCATTTTATATATTTGTGATAATAATTTTTTGATGAGTTTACAAATAAAAATTGAATATCAATGCATTAAATGAAAGTACCCAAAACAAAGAGAGCCTACACTAGCATTTTTGTCATGAAAAAAATGTGCATCAATGCATTAAAGGTTGTACTCAATTAGAATTGCCAGTTCAGTAATCAATAATCAAACTATAAGTTCCATCGACCATTAGAAGGAAAATTTTATTAGGAAAAAGTGGATGAATCACCAATGAAAATCATATAAGAAACCAAGTTTAGGACTTGATAATTCTACGGCATTAAGAAAGTTGAGAAATACTTAAAAATAAGGATCCTAGTGTCATAGAGAATATAATGGTGCTCCTGTAAAAGTTACAAAGTTGATATATAAAAAATAATAATAATTAAAGTGCGGGCGGTTTTTGCGGGTTGCGGGTTTAAACCGCGACCCGCCCGCAACCCGCAAATTTGTCATATTTCAAACCGCATCCGCCCGTATTATGTTTGCGAAACCGCCCATTTATATGCGGGTTGGGCGGATTGGGCGGTTTGAGCGGTTCGGATAAACCGTTGCCCACTCCTACCTAAAACGCTTTTAGTGGGAGGACCCCAATATGTTTTTTCGTTGGGTAAATTACGGAATATAGCCCATAGCTTGGGTCCAGCTCAATTTTGGTCCTATATTTTGTGTAGAAAACCTTTTAGTTTTTTAATTTTTGCCAATATAGTCCAATTATAATTTGATTCAAACTTTATTTTAATTTTTGTTATTTTAATTTGAATAATATTAAATTTATTCTAAATTTTGGTTAATCTTTTTTATGTTTATTAAATTTATTTCAATCTTTTTTTAAATTAAAATAATAAAAATTAAAATCAAATTATAGGTATGAAAAGTGCTATTTCCTTTTTTATTTTATTTTTTTTTATTTTTTTCTCAAAGATACAAGAACATTAATACATATTTATCTAACCTAAGGGGAGAGACTATTATTAAGGGAAAATGCTATGGATCCCAAACAAATTATCAAATTTTCTACCAAACCTCTCACATGGGTGTTACTAAATTTTCTACCAAACCTCTCACATGGGTATGACATCCACACAAATCAAATATATGTGAATCCCACACCCATGTGCGAAATTTGATAGAAAAATTGATAATTTATTTGGGTCATAACTCAT